AATACTATAATAATTTCTCTTAATGTAGTAGTTTTCTATATTTTTAGAGGAGAATGAACAATCTTAGGTTTCTGCTACAACTATTAGTCATTGGCATTGTGAGATATCAGAATTACATGTTAGGAATATATTTTTGCAAGCCAATAATTCAAATCATTTTGCATTCAGAATTATAGTAGATGAATTAAATCGAGAAGAAAAGAAAATATTAGTAAACTGCTTTATGTTTTGGAATTCAGCAAAAAATATTTCTGATATTGCATTTCAGGAAACAAAAGACCTTCAATGCTATAATTCTGATACAGTTAGTTAAGCACTTATTGAAACCTGTACAAAATATAACCTTGATACTACATGTTGTCTTACCTTTCTTTCTGACAACACGAATTATATGAGTAGTCATGCTGGTGGTGCTGTAGCAAAATTCAACAAATTAACTAAAAGTAGTTGTATTCGAATTCCTTGTAGATTACATGTACTATACTTGATATTGAATAATTTTGAAGAAACAGCCTTCGGTAAACTTTTAGCAACTACTGAATTCTCAAAGACATGATATCCATTTAATCTTCTCTATTAAGCATAGATGTTGCATGATGAATATAATCAAAGTGATAAAGATTCACCATTAAATATGAGAAGTAAAACAATTCGGAGTCTCTATAAGGAACGATTTAATTATTAGTTAGCTAAATATCATTATCCATTATGATCGAGATAGCAGTATGAATTAATTATTGCAAAACAGTATCATAAAAGGTGTGAAATTTATATTTAATTTGTTAAATAGTTCCTTTCAAAATTAAGGAGTTTAAATAAAGTTCCTATCTCCTATATTCAAAAATGAGAATTATTTCAAAGCTGGTTAAATAATTCTGAGTTAAACATTGAAGTTCAATGTTTAGTCAAATTTAGACAAAAATTTTACTATCTATTTTCAGAATTTCTTGTCAATTATGATCCTTAGGCAAGAGTTTTACAACCTGATAATTCACTACATTGTTTACTATCTAGTCATCGAATATACCAAATGCCAGATTTTATTGTTAATTCAACATCCAACCTTGTAAATATCTTGGAAAATCCATATTTGTTTTTTGATAGTGAACTTCTACAAAGTACTAAAATTATAGATGATTCAAAAGTTGATCATTAGTTAAAAAATCAAAGCAAAGAATACAAAAAGGATTTGAATTGCATAAAAAATAGTTAAATTGTTAGCTTTATCTTCCTCTAAATATGTGCTGTCTTGGTAGAAATAGTGTACAACAATTTGCCTGTAGCTATTGGCATGTTGTACTTGAAAAACCTTGGCCTCAATGTCCTAGTCTAAAAGAACTTTGTTATGCAGAATATCTCAAAAAAGACATAAAAGAAAAAAGAATCGATGACTTTGGCTTTAAGACTGCACTAAATGATGAATCATTTTTTCAAGAATTTAGCAAGTTCATTAAGGAATCAAATGTTTCACTTTATAAATACCCGCAACTATATGATTCTGTTAAAAACAAAATCTGGTACATTATTGTTCATCAACAGCAAATAGAAGGGTTGTTCAATAAGTGGAACTTAAAGACTCACCAAAATATGACCAACGATACTCAACAGTCCAAAATGCGTCTTTCAGCAACTGAAATAAAAGAACTTCAATTTACCGATGAACAATTAAAGAATATTCGAAATGAAAATAGAATAACCTACCAACATGATTCTACTATATTAGTTCATTCAGACCAAGAAAGAGAACGACGTGCAGATAGTCTTTTTGATGAATTATTTATGTGTCGCTAAGATTCAAGTGTTAATTAATAATAAAACAGTTTTAACGGATTGACTTTTTCGTTACACACTGATTTTTAAGTTCTATTGGCTAAAAACACATCACATAATCACGGGGATGAAATGGTCAAATATCACATAAAAAATCTGTATTATTTATTTTTACATTCGTACCTGATATATATTTGATTAATTATTATATGAAATACCCCAATGTACTATGGAGTATCGTGTCCCTTAATAACGATTTTAACCTTACATGACTCTATAACTCGTGATGCATACACTTACATAATTTATAGAATTCTTTGTCATGCCTTTCATTATCAGTAGAAGTTTCTCTGCGTGGAAATACATGTCTTAACTTCTATCCTAGAAATTTTTGATGTAAGAATGCGTGTTTTTACTTCTGTCTAACCTTTTGAGTTTCAGGAAAGAGGTGGAAGCTAAATATATAAAAGGGCAGTATATGACACTAAATGTTATTTTTTATATCAATTATTCTGCTACATCTCATTCAAAATTCCCGCAACTAATTTTTTATATCAATAATTCTGCTATATCTCATTCAAAATTCCTGTAACTTTTACCATGTCAACCCAATTGTCAAGAATAGTAAAACTTTTAACAGAAGAACCATTAGATGCCATTTGTTCTGAGTCGGTTGTTTATCTGGCGATGGTCGATAATACTTTAGGCGAATATGAAGATGTTAGAGAATTGGCAGATCGTGCAGTTAAAAAAGCATTGGAAGGAATAAGTAATTCTGATAGAAGAGATAGAGTATCAATGATTCTACCACAGGTTAGTGAGATATTATTTTGTACAACTATAATTTACATAAAGTGATGAGATTACAGTAGATATCGAACCTGAGTTTTGGTATGCCATTGCTGAAGGCTAAGGAATGCCGGCCCAGAAGAGCGATATCGTGGGATTTGCTATCCCTGAGATGTCGAGGGTTTCTGCTTCCCCTCAGCTGTGCGTGGCTGTTATAACCATAACAATGATGCACTATTGGAGATTAGCTTCTGATTATGCGCATGCGCAAGTCTAGCATATCAAATTTTAAAATTTGATCCTAATAATATACCGGTATTTGTAACCATATCTACTGTAGATGGAAAATGGATACAAAAGCGTTAAAGGTCTGAATGCAATTATGGCATTGAATATGGTATAGTATCTAGTTACCGATCTAGATCGAGATTATACTTGTATGATACGGGCTAACAAGTCATTCAGGAAAAGGAACCGGCCCAAGATCATGAGAGAGAGGAGATAGAACGGAATCTTAATTTTTTGAAGGAAAAACTTGATGTAGGTGTTAGACCACCTTTATTGATATTATCTTGCGAGTTTGAGATTTATTAATATTATGTGTTTTAGCACCCCTCAACTGATGCTGATGGACCTCTATACGATTCTCTTAAAAAGAAGATTGATACTCTTGATCCCAAAGACCTTACATGGAAAGATCCGGAAGCGAATATGATTCTTAGTGATAAATCAAAGCTAGTAGAAAGTTTGGAAAAACGGCAGAAAAAAACATTTACAGTATGAACAAGTTTTATTTTATATGAAATTCTGACCATTGGGCGTGTTAAAGATTTCCTCTCAAATTGTATTCGTAATTTACTATTTACATATCAATTAATAGAAACCGCGGGAAAATATGAAATGTGATCTTCCCGAATCAATTCTATTTAAGTGTGATGAATTTGTAGAGAACTTCGATAGAACAATTGTTTCGGGAAATTCTAACAATATTTTCCATAATAAAACATGGAAAGAAAATGAAAGAGATCTTGGAAAAAGAACAGGTCGAATTCTGGACGTACTGTATGTAATTTTACCGAAAATTCTTTCTTTGAATATTCTATACATTACAATTTTACAATTTGTATATTTTTAAACTAGTTCCGAGATATGGTGCAATCCAGCATTCGCAACAAGTATGTCTCGCAGTGAACAGAGCGAGGGAACTTACGTTGCGGATGTTGTGATGCCTTTACTTCGGGCAACCCTGGAGGATTTTCCAGATGGTAATCTCTGCTTGAGCACGTAAGTATTTGATAAATAATGTCATGAAAAAGAGTGTTTTATACTATTATATTTTTTCGTCAAATTATAGAGCAGAGCGCCAAAGTTTGGCGAGTAAGGCTCGGAGAAATCCCAGAATTGGAAAAAAGCCGGATGTCATGGTGTTGGTGAAGCATGAACAGAAGGTCGATGAGCTTGTATATGTTGAATGCTCCCGCGTTGTCTGCACTAATACAAAAAGAGATGATGATGCGGTGAAGCTATGGAGGGAAGCATTGGACGGAATAAGTTACGTTGGCACATCATGCAGACCGGCTAGCAACCAATTTGGGATTGTAGGAATTCAAGTCGCTAGGGAGGTTGTGCATTTAAATGTCCTTATGTTGGATGGTGCTGGAATACCTCGGTATTTCCACCTTGATCAAGCAGAGATACCACTGACAACAGATACACCGTGGCGCGTGAAACCTCTTATACGCCTATTATTAACTTTGAGGGTATGGATATATATTACAATTTTTTATATAATTCTGCTTTCATCGTTATGTTTAGCTGATGAACTATGTTTTATGTATGGATACAGAATACCCTGATCGTGAATAAGAGTTTGCTAAAGCGAGCACTTGAGCAAGCAGATACCAATCCACCTCGAAATGCTCGACCAAGCCCCGCTGTTTCATCACCAACCAGAGAAGAACAGGCAAGAACCAGAAAGGTAAGTGATATAAACCCACCTTTGCGTGAACAAAGATTAAATAAGAAAAAAAGCGGGAATCTTCAGAACAAATCTTGAATTTATATGAGCTCCATCCTGGATTTTTCTTTTTTTTTACATTAATAAAGCTGGCCCCGGTGGCTCAATTTCACATAAATAATCAGTTTACTTTTGCGTGTATATTTCGTGAATTTATTTATTGTATTGATACCGATGTATAACTCACATATGATCGAGAATTTTTAAAATTTTTCTTGGCATTTTTTGACGAACGTTGTTCTGTGAAATTTCATCACATGACTTCTGGTTTGGTTCTCTCGAAAAGATATCTTATAAAAATAATTGAAATTAAAAAGCATTAGAATAACAAAACATTTTTCAGCACTTTGTGCAGACACAGCCAAGACGTGGTT